TTTCATCAGAGAACGTTTTTTTTTACCATGAGCATAAATGAACTGGAAGTGTGTAACCCTGTAATTCTTGCTGATCAGGTGCCGCTCTATCAATACTCGCTTGTACTCGTAGCGACACTGCTTTGCTGTGTTGTATTTTAGAGGCTTTTACGCGCATGAAGTGTCTATCCCTAGTTATCCTTTGATTAGCTAGGTGCTATTAGTAAAAACTAACCTACTCATTAGGTAATCAAGAATAACACAACTTTAACTCCTACACAACTAGAGAATTAGAACCCCACAAAATAGCAGTCAGTCATTTAATTGAAAATCTAAAAAATTAAGACTGTGTATCAACTAATTGGAAAGATTACATTGAAATGCAATTAACTTGAGTCGATCGAAAAGTAACAACAGTATATAGATCAACGTAATTTCGCGTGTCTTAAATAATATTATCTAATTGGGTATATCTAATTGGGTATTATCTAATTGGTAATAATATTATCTAATTGGGTGTTACTCGTACTAGTTCTAACAATAGTTAAGTAATACTCAGTATTTAGAAGAGCTAAAGCGCCTTTTTGACGAGTGCCGGAGAAACAGTGGGCTTAGTTGAATAGTTCAGAAAAGGTATCTTAGTTGCTTTATTCGGGCTCGGTCACTTTGGCACGAATGACGCTAAGTAATTTGGATCAGCAGAGGTATACATGGACGGATATTTCTTAATTATTACAGCAATGTGATACAGTCGAACTCACGTTCAGATTTCCTCTTTTCCATGTAACTGTTGCTATAGAAATCAATATGTCGGAGGTTTGCACTAAGATAGCCAGCGGCCACACGGTGCATGAGGTCGACTGCGCCACTAAAGAGAAGATCGACAAGCTGCTACCGGGGCCCTGGGCGGACGTGGTGCTGCTGAGGCCCCACAACTGGGTTTTACTTCGTAGCTTTCTTCAAATTCACGAGAAGGTCTACAACTTCAAGGTTTGGGGGTTTCGCTTGCGCCAACTATGAAGATTTTTATTACTGGTCTAATTTCATATTAATTTGCGATGTATTTTGGAATAACCATTATTTCCTTATTCCATTAACAATTTAACCTTATTCCATAACCATTATTCACAAATTTCGGACATGAAATTTTAATCCTAATTTGATGTGGCATCTTTCATCATATGTGGCATATTTCGCGATGAAAATGACCCATCGTTTAACAGTAATTTATGGCAGTTTACTATGCACAGAAAACAAAAACTGTTTCACTTAGAATATCTCCACTGAAATAACTGATATATTGCAGTTTCGACCTGACGATGTAGTGGTGATGACATACCCTAAATGTGGTACCACATGGAGCCAGGAGATCGTCTGGAACATGAGGAACAACCCAGACCTTGACAACCCAGACGCTGATGACGCACTCTTCGTACGCAGCCCCTACCTTGAGTGAGATTAGTGGCCCAGTGGGGCTAATTTGTGACTAGCATTCAGGCTGTAACTTTCCTTCTTATAGCCGGAAATGCTAAGAACCTATCTCTGGGTTTCACTAACAATGAATCACATTCAGGTCGTCTAATTTGTACATATAGCTGGAAATGCGAACAAACTATCTTTGGGTTTTACGAATAAGAAAGCACATTCAGGCTGTATACCTCCTACGTACTTTATAGTTGGAAATGTTAAGAAACTATCTTTTGGTTTTACTAACAATAAATCACATTCAGGTCGTGTACTTGGTACCTATATAGCTGGAAATGGTAACAAGAAACTATATTTGGGCAATAAATCACATTCAGGTCGTGTATTTTGTACTTATAGCTGTAAGTACCCAGAAACTATCATTGGGTTTTTGTGCTTTACCAACAAAAAATGCACCAGAAACAGTTTCGATTATTATATTGTTATATTCGCTTGATAATACCTTTTAAACGTCCAATGAATTGGTAAAATTTAATATGATAGAACTTTTAGATATGATAGATAGATACTATGATAGATATTGAAATACTTCGTAAATGTGTTTAATAGATATTTTTAATGAAAATTACATAGAAATTGCATACTAATTAAACACATGGAGTTTAATGACATCACGGTCTTGTTAGTTATGATTGCAAAATCGTCCTCTTTTCTTTTTACATTTCTCTAGTGGAAATTTGTTATGCCTATGAAACCAATATTTGTGTTTTTAGTTAGCTAAGTTCAAAGAAATAATAGGAACATTGTCGAAACATTGATGCACTTTTTACCTTTGTGTGGGTGATCTTGACCCAATCTGGCTCGGCAAAAATGCGTAACAGCGCAACGTTCGCTCACTGTGGGTAAGGAAGTAAGTCGTTATTTGGATAATATGACCCATTCATTTTTCGTTCAATTTCGTCATGATTCTTTGGCTTGTTTATTCGTCGGGTGCGCAGGATGGACATGCTTTTCGTGCCCGGATTGCAGATCGACGTGGCTGTGATGTCCGTCTTCATGAAGGGCATCGAAAAATACGTCAAGGATCTTGACCAGCACTGGCGAAATTGGACTATGTTCCAGGTGCAGCAAAATAATTACGGATTATTCCTACGATTTATACAATATTACTTCTCTAACCAAATGCAAAAATTATTTTCGTGAAAACAAAACAAATTTGAAATGTTTAATCTTAGTTTTATAAAAGTTGCCTTAGGTACCCGTTCGGTGCATGTAGAACACTTTATTAAAATCAACGATTATTTGCGTGTATGTTTTTTGAAATAAAAGAGATTTACGCTTTGCACTTTGAATAACAGAAGAATTTTAAATATTTTTCAGGTAGCTGAAGCCCACAGAAAGCCTCGCACTATCAAGACTCATCTGCCCTTTTCCATGCTGCCCAAGAATCTACTGGACATATGCAAGGTGAAATCAGAAAAATGCGTTAGTCATGTTGTCTAAAAAGTGACACTCTTTTTGCACGTATTACTGATACACCATTTTTGCCGAGCCAAAATGGTAATGATGTGCCATTCTGGAGCAAGAAGTACGTCAAAATATGGTCAATTCAAACTCATTTCTTTGAGTATAACATTGATTCCTTCGCCAACCTCACAGGAAATTCTAAAATTCAGTTCATAATTGTAATGCATTCCATTCATCTGAGCTAAAATAAGAAAATGATTCCATAATAATTGTAAAATTACAATTCGAAATGAATGGTCAGACCAGCTTGCATCAAATCGGTAATAATTAATGCCTGACAGTTAAATTTCAATACTTGAGATTAATTAGTAGGATATTTCACTATGCACTTAATTATATATAATCTTTGTACGACGAATTCACGAATCTTTTAAATGAAGATCTTGCAACAAACTAACAACCAGACATTTAATAGATCAGATCGTTACCTCGTCTTATCTCTCCTATTGCTTTGAATGCATATTTTTAAATATGCGTGTTGCACAACGTATGGTGTTCACAAGAATGTGTTGTAAGTTGACTACGTACAAGCATCGTCTTTAGACGGTGATGCAGGCAGCCCCTCATAGCATAGTGATAACATACATAACAGAGTGATGTCGGCGCTGAAGAGTAGGCCTGATGTGGCCAGTCGCCGATTCTTTTCGTGACCTGTTCACAGAACTTCAGACAGAAGATCTAAAATCGTGTCATTTGACCGGATCTTTTCAGGACTGACGATTGTTTGAAATAGTTTGAAATAACTATGTACTACATCAACTTATTAAGCCTGATTTACCTATTGAGATGTAGGCATTACTTAAAACGCGTGATTTACTATTCCCATTGACCCCACAGGTTGTTTACGTGTCACGTAATCCCAAGGATAAGGTACTGTCCGCTCAGCACCACTACAAGCTCACGAAAATGCACAACTTCGTCGGCACTCAGGATGAATTTGTTGACCTCTTCGTGGAAGATTTGCGTGAGATTCATTCATGTTTTGGTGCTGTTGTAAGGTGATGGGACGCCTGTCGGAGACCACCATTGCCGTGCATCGAATGGACTATCGTAATCCCTTCCCTCAAGAACGTAGCCTATATAACACTATTTGACTGTAACATTATCAGCCGCAAGCCACCAGACAGATCTCATCCATTGAATTAGATCAATCAGACCACAGGAAAGTAGCCTGACGTAGAATGGCCCAGCATCGTCTGCCAATACGCGCAAAAAAGGTACACCATCCGGACGGAGCGCGCCGGAGCCGTCCGTATCTGTCCCGTGTGTCGAATCAGCCTACGGTCGAACGGCCACGAGTCGTACGACGATAAATTTTGGAACAGAACTATGCTATCTGGAACCTAACCCCAGATGCTGTGAGCTAAAAGTTACGTAATTTAGCGAAGCTGCAGAAGTCGCTCGTCGGAGGACGATAGATTTTGGAACAGAACTATGCTTTCTGAAACCTAACCACAGGATATGGTGAGCTGATAGTGACCGTCTGGTGGTTCACGGCAGGATGCATGCAGTTCAACTGGCGAGCTGGGCTGGTTGGTCGCAGTCCGTTGTCCGCTAGTTACAGTTCGAGCTGAAGTCAGAGTATGAAGTGATGATTCGATGCAACGTTCAGTGATGGACAACCATTACTCTCTGGGCTATTCGCTTCAGAATATGGTGGCGTAAAGCTCCTAATATTTAAAGAAAGGTGCTGCCATGGCCCATGGGCTGGTTACTGACGGCAGGGTTAATACGCGGCTGATTGGTAGTCATCCGGAAATTTGCTAGGCGTTCCTTTCAAGGCTGTGTGGTGCACAAATCTGGTGGCATGCATTCTGCCGTGCACCACCAGGCGGTCACTTTTCGCGTACAACATCCGGGATTAGGTTTCAGAAAGCATAGTTCTGTTCCAAAATCTATCGTCCTTCGACGAGCGACTTCCGCAGCTTCGCTAAATAACGTAACTTTTAGGTCACAGCATCTGGGGTTAGGTTCCAGATAGCATAGTTCTGTTTCAAAATTTATCGTCGTACGACTCGTGGCCGTTCGACCGTCGGCTGATTCGACACACGGGCAAATACGGACGGCTCCGGCGCGCTCCGTCCGGGTGGTGAAAACTTTTTTCGCGTCTTGGCAGACGATGCTGGGCCATTCCACGTCAGGCTACTTTCCTGTGGTCCGATTGATCTAATTCAGTGGATGTGATCTTTCTGGTGACTTGCGGCTAATAATGTTACAGTCAAGAAGTGTTATAGGCATCCACTTATTCTTTCCTTGAGGTAAGGGATCATGATAGTCCATTCCATTCGATGCACGGCAGTGGTGGTCTCCGACAGGCGTCCCATTTAGAGAGTGTATTTACAGTGTTGTGAAGAATCACTCAATTTATCACTAGAATATCACTCAATTCATAATAGTATCCTGCAATTGCGGTATAATGACCGTTTTTTCAGTGTTATACAGCCCGTACGGGCAGCACCTGAAGGAGGCGTGGTCCCGACGCCACCACCCCAACTTCTTCATGACGACGTTCGAGGAGCTCAAGGCAGACACCCGCCAGCAGCTCACGAAGCTCGACGCTTTCTTGGGCACCGGCCTTACGGACAAGCGGCTCGACAACGTGAGTGTTGCAGCACTCTATATCACTCACTTATATCACTGCAGCACTCTATATCACTCACATACTAATTATAATTCATTCGCTATCACTCAATTTACTCATTTACCAGCTTTCACTTGCTCGCTCACTCACTCACTCACTCACTATCACTCATTCAAATGCTTTTGATGTTTGCTACTAATGAGTGAACAGGTCAACAACTTTCAAGATATAATACTTGTTCCAGGCAGGACTGAGATATATCATTTAAATAATATTAAAAAATAAAAATAAAATGCAGAATGTTTTTTCGTCGCTTAAAAGTTTCTGAATGTTACGTACTTTTTCAGATTTTGCAGACAACCAGCTTCCGGACCATGCAAGAGAAGGACCAATCGAGGAAACTTAACGAAACTGTCTACAATATGGACGAGGGAAACAAGGAAGGATTGTTCATCAGGCAGGGTGAGGGCTGAGTCCGCCGAAATCCTGAACAAGTCCTGTGACCAAAACATAATTATCCTGATATTTTTTGACTGCATTTCTCACCGATTCTTAAGTAATTATGGATGAGAATTTACTTGCAGCATTACCATTTTTAATGAATTTTTTAACGATTTTATCGTTCATTTCAAAATTATGGATTTGAAATGTATCAGGAAACTTCAATTACATTTTACTGTTCTATAACACATTAACGCGTCCAGAATTTTCTGCATCTGTGAACCAAGCACAGCTAAGTCGCATTTAACTATGTACAATAGTTTCTAATTAAGCATATAATTATGGTTAATGATTATTTAATCAGCCTAAAGTTTTTAGCTAATATTTATATAATGTTTTCTAGGCAAGGCTGGCACCTGGAGGGACAAGATAACTCCAGAACAGAACGCCAAACTCGACCTCTGGATCAAGAAAAATTTCACCGATCATGGAATCGACTTCAAATACGACTGATTACCTACCAAGTCTCTAAAATTTCGAGAAATGTTGTAATGAAATGATTTATTTAATGTACTGTTCTTATTCGAACTGAATCGAAGATATCTTTAAAAGTAATAACCTTGAACGTAAATTTGTTTCCCTAACGTAGCTGTTTAAATTTATATCATCAAGCTTTAGCATCATGTGGGTGATTGTGCTCTTATTTTTGTACGGCATTCTTCTTCTTGTACTTTTATTTATTAAAAATATATGGAATTTTTGCGGCAGTTTGAGGAAGATTTAAAATCAAAACTGTGCAGCATTTTAGTGAGCCTCTAGTTTGGTAATTTCTTTGTAATTCTGAATGGGATAAATATATTTTTTTCTATAATCACACTATTTTTGTTTGATAGCCTATTTTAATATAGTCTCCAAAGGCGTGAAATGCCCAAGATTGAAGCAGTGACTTATGGATTCGAGACCTTTTGCTTGTTGTGTAAATTTTAGTCCAATAAGGCAAGATGGTCGGGTGGTTAGAAATAAGCGATTAACAGAGTTGACAGAGCTATATTATCATATTTTATTAATTGCACTATATCATATAATATTTATTGTTTACCAAATGAAGTACTCCTCCATGCATTCAGAACTGTAGCATTACGGGAGCGCAGCCGTGCACCACCAATTTTGTGCACCAATAAGCCCTGAATCGAACGCCTTGGATCTCTCCTGACCTACACCAATCAGCCGTGCACCACTTGGCTTCGTCCTCTTCCGGCCTTGACCACCACCTGCCGTGCACCACCAGGCCGCGGATCGAATATGACTTCCAGGCATCGTTAAATTACGTAATTTTACGTTCATAGTATTTCATAGTATTAGAAGGTTTGAATAAAATTTCTCAAACTGAAAGTCACTAAAATGTAGTTATTATGGTAACATTTTAAGGCTTATATCTCAAAACGGCTCAAGTTAAGTTAGCTCAAAATCATAGTTTACGATGATTGTATGACGGTGATATTTTTGTCCGTTAATATCTGCTCCCGGTGACGACGTGCTCCTATGAGTAACCAATGTCTCCACCGCTTAGAGTCTCAGACAGAGTGAACAGACGCTTTGTAAAATTGTGGTGCGGTGGTTGGTGATTTAATTGGCTGCAAGTTGGCGCTAGGGTCTGATAACTCTAAGTCTAATGGTTGCAGTCTGTACTCTAAGCCTAATATTTTTCTTAACAGTCACTCAACTGAACACGTGATAATGCAGTCAGACCACTCTGACGTGACCGCAACTTTGCGATCTTCAAGGGAATGTTTTCCTTGCTTTGGGTTGACGGTTGACTTGTTATTAAGTTCGGCAGGATATTTTGGCGGGAGCGTTGAAGTACTGCGGATTGTGGAAGTTAAAAATTTTATGATCCGACATGTTTGCGAAGTGAAAACAGCAATTTTTTTCAATCAAACAAAAACACATGACATTAAAGCTGCAAGAATTCATACCTACTGAAATTATATGATATTAGAGCGGCGATAGTTCAGAAAAAAGTAAGACTTTTCCAGCCCTGAGCAGGTAGACTAAAAAAATAATTTATTAAACCTAATATTCAATTTTGGTACAATTGGAAATTAAATAACAAGGAAAGTGTCACAGGTTGTAAATTAACTATACAAACTATGATATTGAGCTCTTGTTATATTAAGCTCTACCTGAGGATCGGGTTCTTCGTTGACTAAGGTAGTGAGGGATAAGTAAGACACATAAGTCCAGATAACGTATCTTGTATACGGGGTGGTAATACAGAGT